ATTAATACCTCTTTTCGTTTTGTACATTCCTTTCTTCCTAACATATCCTCGGGGAGCCTTCCATTCGTCGAGCATGGGCCTCAGCGCCGTGTGGATCAGCTGCCACTCACTGTGTCTTACTGTCTGTAAAATGGGGAGTGTAGAAATGGATTTGGTTATATCATTCGAATAATAAAGATAACTTCAGGTTGAAATTAGAAGGACGTGGACATCAGAGGAAGGAAAGACAATTCGCGCCGCTGACCAGCCTATCTGATGGCCTGTGTCCCACTAATGGCAAAAGAGGGCGTTGTTGTTGTGTCCCCTGGATACAGCGTACTTGTGTTGAGACAGACGCTTAGTGAGACGCCTGTCTAGCCAAAATACTGCTTATCACAGGAGGCACAAGACACAGCATAGGTATATACGCACACGCACACGACACACACACACACACACACACACACACATATACATATATATATATATATATATATATATATATATATATATATATATATATATATATATATATATATATATATGTACACATAAATATATATATGCACATATATTTATATATGAATATTCATACGTATATTTATATATACATATATATATATATATATATATATATATATATATATATATATATATATATATATATATATTAATGCACATACATTTATATATGAATATACATATGTACATTTATATATATATATATATATATATATATATATATATATATATATATATATATATATATATATATATATATATATACATATATATACATATATATATATATATATATATATATATATATATATATATATATATATATATATATATATATATGCACATACATTTATATATGAATATACATATGTACATTTATATATATATTTATTTATATATATATATATATATATATATATATATATATATATATATATATATATATATATATATATGTGTGTGTGTGTGTGTGTGTGTGTGTGTGTGTGTGTGTGTCTGTGTGTGTGTGTATATATATATATATATATATATATATATATATATATATATATATATATATATATATATACATATGTATGTGTGTGTGTGATTGTGTGTGTGTCTGTGTGTGTGTTTATTACATGTGTATATAAATCTATATTTACCTCTAAATATCCCCTAAGTGGCTGATTGAACACCGGGGAAAAATTGCAGTGAGCATCAACTTTTCTTGTAGTGTTGAATTGTATTTTACGGCAGTCTCGGCGGTTGATCTTCTTTCCTGGTAGATGCAGCACAGCGAACTGCCTCTCTTTCTTGTCTCCAGAAGGTAACAAAATCTGCAATCCCACAAATATTATTTCTTGCTTGCTTTGATGCCTTTGTGAAGATGTTTATATTGGAACCTGTTGTAATCTCCTTTCCATATGTTTAGCCAATCAGAGCGCAATATTCTTTATTTTATTTTACGTACGTCTCAGGGATTTATATTTTCGTTACTTACGTAGATCGTCGTATGCTTCTTGATATCAAATTCATATTTAAAGAGGTATAAAATGTATATGTGCTATTATATGGCATTATATTTTATAAGTCAGAAATGAAAGTCGTTGGAATATGATAAGCATTTCCAACGTGTCCGAATCATAACACGTGATCTTATTGGGGAAGATTATTTTCAAAATCTTTTTGTACGGCCACGATCAAACCTCATCGACTCAAAATTACTAGCAAAAAAAAAGAAAAAAAAATTCGTTGTTGATCTGTTATGAACATAAAGCCTATCAGTGGCCTATAATAACTGGAATTATCATTGACCTTACTCGTGGTAGATTCGACTAAAACAAAACTGAACTGAAAAACAAAACAATAGATGTACAAATATGTAGTGAACCAGTAGTTTGCGATCCCATCTGATTGTTTTCAGTTTTTTTTTCTTCTCTCTCTCTCTCTCTCTCCCCCCCCTCTCTCTCTCTCTCTCTCTCTCTCTGCGTTTGTGTGTGTGTGTGTTTGTGTGTGTGAGTGTGTGTGTGTGTATTTGTGTGTGTTTGTCTGTGTGTGTGTGTGTGTGTTTGTCTATGTGTGTGTGTGTGTTTGTGTGTGTGTGTGTATGTGTGTGTATGAATGTGTGTGTGTGTGTTTGTGTGTGTGTGTGTGTGTGTGTTTGTGTTTGTGAGTGTGTGTGTTTTTGTGTTTGCATGTGTGTTTGTGTGTGTGTGTGTGTGTGTTTGTGTGTGTTTGTGTGTGTGTGTGTGTGTGTGTGTGTGCGTGCGTTCGACTCGGCTCAGAAATTCTGATCTGATCTTATTTTAGATTGAAATTTTCTTATTCCAATAAAGCATTGAAATATGAAGATGAAAATTTAAATATGTCCAGTGTGGGTGTGGGATGTCCACAGAATGTCTTATCAGAGGTGGATAGATAAACTCGCGTAAATCCTTTGATGATATATTGACAGGAGAGACTAGATACACGAGGGTCGGAAGTGACGTACATCCGTCTCGTTCCGTGGTGACAGTGTGACTGGCTTCTGTCTAAAACAATAATAGTGTTGCCATATCATTGGTCCATACACAGTTCGTTCACTGATACGTTACACATATATACACACATTTCCCCCCCTCCTCACGTCCATAAGCCTATGAACGGGCGGCAATACGTTGAGAACGTCGTCTGGCGCCATAACTTCTGGGTTGACGACGTCTACGTGGGCAAGGAGAATCTTGGGCTGGGCGGTTTGGGGTGTCCTCACGCTTGTCCTCCACAGGTGCGTGAGATGGAATGGGCACAACTCGAAGGAACCGACGATTTCTCCAAAGCACTCGTCCTGAAGGCGTCCGGAGAAGGTAGTCGCGGCTCCGATCAATTCCCATGACTACAGCTACTTTATTCCACCGTCTGGAGACAGGATCTTATATCCAGACTTGCGATCCAATCTGTAGTGGCTGTAATGGTCTGGCGTGCGTGTCGTATAATGCCTTAGCAGTGTCCTCATAGCTATATGGCGATCACACTCTTCTGTCTTTGCTTGCCATTCCGGACCAAAAGATGAGCTGTGGGCTGGAACACGGGAACGTAGAGGATGGCCAAACAAAACTTGCGCAGGGGAACGGCCATCCTGACGTGGTGTGTTACGGAGTTCCAACAATCCACGGTCGAAAGCTTCATTCAGGATACCAGAAGGGGCGACCTTCAAAATTAGGTGTTTCAAGGCCTTCACTGCAGCTTCTGCATGACCATTACTCTGTGGATAATGGGGAGAGGATGTATCATGGCGAACACCCCATCGACACAGAAAGTCATTAAAATCTCGGCTCGAAAACTGAGGTCCACCATCAGTGCGCAGCCGAAGAGGGACACCTAGGTCGCGGAAGAATCTTCTGAAGAAACTAATATTAGCGGCAGCTGTAGTGTCAGTGCCACAGCATGCTATCACAGGCCATCCTGAGAGTCGGTCAACGTAAACAAGGAAAGACTTCCCCGCTGCACTGAAAGAATCTGCTGACACAGACTCAAAGGGTTTGGTGGGTGCTTCTTGTGTCAGCATGGGCTCTTGTTGCTGACTTGGCAGAAGTACTTGGCAAGGCTCACATGATCTGACTGCATTTGTGATATCTGAATTGATACCAGGCCACCATACAGTCTGTCGGGCACGACGCTTTGTGGCCTCCACGCCACGGTGACTGTCATGTAGGCGAGCCAACACTTCTCGGCGAAGGGTAGAAGGAACTACAATGCGGGGTCCCAAAAGGATGAGGTCCTCATCGTGGTACAAATTGTCACGTTCTTTCCAATATGGGAGTAGGTCAGGGTCCAAATTGTCACGGTTGGCAGGGAAACCATGAGTCACTTTGTCGAGGAGCTTGACATATACCGAATCTTCACGCATCTTATCAAGCACCAAGTCACTTGTCTGTATTGTCCCTGATACTGTGCTCAGAGTGGCCATACGCTGAGTGACTACACATCTGACATAGTGACGTGTGTCATCACTAAGAGCGATATCTTCAGGCGATGGTGAATCCACAGGAGCACGGGAAAGGGCATCTGGGATTGAGAGTTCCTTTCCTTTAAGCCATGTAGCTGTGAAGACATAACCTGCTATCTTCTCTTTCAGGCATTGGAGTCGGGGGTTATCAATAGCATCTAATGTGTACAAGTTAAGTACAGGTAGTCGTCGACTTACGACCTATGCGACTTACGACTGTTCGACTTTACGACCGTGAAAGTGAGAGTGATGTACGACAGTTTAGGCACCCAGCGGCAGCAATCCGTGCGGGCGTCAGTCATTGTTTGTGAGCGCGGTACGGTGCAGCATACTTCCTCCAAGTCCGTTCTTTATAATTTTCCTTCAAAGTGCCCCAAGATGTCTACCAAGAGGAGGTGTTTGACTTAAACCTAACAAACGTAAACATAAGAAACAGTACGATGTGTAGAGAAATGTTACAACTGGTAGAATAATTTAAAGAAAAATAAAAATATTGTCCAAATAACGAAAATGAAATAATGAACAGAGAAAATGTCAATAAAATATGACTTTAAGATGATTCCAGAAACATCACACAGCATAATATACTCACGGTAATTTAACATACGATCGACTTACGACCAAATCGACTTACGACCAGTCTGTCGGAACCAAATGAGGTCGTAAGTCGACGACTACCTGTATGGACACCAGAGGTCTATGGTCTGTCATCAGGGTGAAGTGGGGCAAACCAAGCAGGTAATATTTGCACTTCATCATAGCCCATACTGCAGCCACTAATTCCAACTCAATTGTGGCATATCTCGTCTTCACATCTGCAAGAAACCGGGAACCACATTGCACTAATCGCCATTCTCCAGGCTTGTGTTCTTGCAACAGTGCATAGCTTACACCATAGAGACAGGAAGCATCTGTCTGGAGTATGGTCTTGAGTGCTGGGTCGAAATGGGCGAGAACAGGTGGTTGTGAGAGAGCTTTCTTCACACGGCTGAATGCTGCATCATGGTCAGGAGTCCATGTGAAGGCACGCTTGGGACTCATAAGAGGGCGTAAAACATCAGCAGACTCGGCAATTGCAGGGGTGAATTCAGCCAGTTGGTTCACCAAGCCCATAAATGATCGGAGGTCTGTCAGGTTAGCTGGCTTTGGGAATTCGGCAATGGCACGAACTTTCTCTTCCTCAGTTGCAATTCCATTTCCTGAGAGGGTATATCCACAGAATGACACTTCTGGGGCTGCGAGCACAAACTTGTCAGCATTCATGGTAATGCAATGAGCACGGCATCTCATAAGAACCTATACTCGCTTTAGGTGAGATGCACAGTCCTCATCCCATAGAAGGACGTCGTCTACCACCTTCACACACTGTTGTACTCTGTCGAGTGCTATGTCATCCCGACGACAGTACTCATCACCTGTGGCTGCAAAGCCCATGGGTCCACGACAAAAGCGGAAGCGACCATAAGGGGTGATGAATGTTGTTAAATGTTGATCTTGCTCTTCTAAAGGTATTTGCCAATAGCCATATAAGGCATCCAAGGTGGAAAAGTACTTCGCCTTAGGGTTGATACGACGTACAGCAACATGAGGCGTTGGTGAGGGATAGGCAGGGCAGAGCACTTGACTGTTGAGTTTAGTGAGGTCAACAGTTATCCTGACACCTCCATTAGGCTTAGCCACAACCACGAAGGGGTGACACCATTGTGATGGTTCATCACCTGCGGGAGTAATGATGCCCTGAGCCACCATGGAGTCCAACTCTGTCTTGATGTCATCCAGCCAGGCAAGGGGAATGACACGGGGCGTGTGCACTGCAAATGGTTTGGCATTTTCCTTTATGAAGATCCTCACAGGGGGTCCACACATCTCCTTGAGCTTCGTACCCTATCGGAAATCTTTCTTCGTCATGAGAACGTCTGAAAATTCTCGAAGGAAAAACTTCGTCGCCTCATTAGGGGATGCTGAGAACGGAGGAGGTCTTGGTGGATGTAGCGGGAACCGTTGGGATGGTTGAGGTGGGGCTGGCTGTTGCCATATCATTGGTCCATACACAGTTCGTTCACTGATACGTTACACATATACACACATCCAGAACTTAATAATTCTCGCCCTTAAAAAAACAAGCAACTGCTTTTTGGCTAAGACTAACAACCGTCGAAAATTATAGGTATTTTTTCTTAGTCCGTTGCTCTGTGTGAATGTGCATAAAAGGGGCATCATTTCTCTTTTTTTCGGGGGGAGGGGGGGCGTTGGAAAGGGTAATTGCCCCCATCAATGTCTTCTGGCCCCCCCCCCCCCCCTCAAGGACCACACTCCCACGATTTTTTTCCCTAAATAAACCCTTTTCAGATCTGGCCGTAGCTTAAAAACACTCCTAAAATGGTTAATTTTTCTTTATTTCCTCGTATACCGCGTGTTGGTGTAATAGCGGTTATAACATGAACCGTTTTTTTTTCTTAATTTTCTACGCCATTAATTTGTTAATAATTTCATAGTACAGAACGATGATTACTTTGATTCCCTACGTGTGTCCTCACCGGCCATGTCCTATTATTCTTCCCTCAACTATTCACAAAACCTTTAACCCAGAAAAAAAAAACACATTAGATTATTTACAACCAATGTTAGTTTTGTATATAGATACCTACACACCGGCATGAGATCCATGGCTAAAAGGGAAATTCCAAAATTGGTAAATTATGTTTCTCACGACAATCCGTTCAAGCCATTCGTGGTACAAAAATGTGAACAAACATAAGGATAAGTCCGATATGCGAAGCTGAGCCTCGCCCGGACTATGAGGGGAGCCCGGCCTGTGTCGACTAATGTCGACTCGCTATCACTGTGTCAGCTGGTGCTAACTCGGCTTTGTCCTTACCCGCCGTGGTGCCCAGCCACAGCAGTAACCTCCAGGCGACAATTGCAACTTCTCGCGCGTGGCTGGGGCGCGAACCGCCGACCCCTCGGATGAGAAACCGACACGTTACCACTGTACTAGCCCGGGAGCTGTGAACAAACACAAAAGTGCCGTTTCCACTGACCGCCGAAATGAGAATTCCAGGTATAAAAGCTGGAAATTGTACTGATACATGCCACCCGTGTGATTCACCGTTTTGAAGAAAGTTGGACAATATATGAAAATGTACTCTCCAAATAGATTGGAAGCGTGAATTACACAATTTCAAAATTACCGACTTTGTCTCTTTTTTGGATATGGTGTCAACAAGGGTCATGCCTTTTTTCACTTACTGCCCATACACATAAACTAACTTTATTGTCAGAATCCGAAAACTGATCAATATTCATTACATAAATCCCAAGCACATGCACCCGCAATAAACACTATACATGACACAGGTCCCAGTCACCATTAAAATAAGCACACGTTTAAAGGGAAAAGCATTCCTACTGGCGAGGTGTCATTTAAAGATATTATAAGTAGAATGTGGGACTTCATGGTTCACTACAAGCATAGAAAATAAATAAAGATAGAAAAAAGAAACATGTTTTAATGTATCCGAGAAATATATTTGAAAGTTTTCACTGTCTTGCGACTAAAGAAAAGTGTGTAAATAAACACGTAGGAGTCGCTTAGTGATCCTGGACTTTTTCGTTTTCATTTAAGATTTATATAGTCTCCTAAACTACAGATTATATGAATATCTTATTAATTTCACGTTTTTATATGGACTTTGGTTATGTGATTTTTTTTTTCATAACTTTATATACCAAAACACAGTTTGACGACCTCGTGTTTTGTTGCGAACACGAGTCAAAACCAAAGTTATCGAAGTTTTTGAGGTTTCGGAATGCTATAAAAAAAGCTGTATTTTGAGCATCATTCCCGGAACCCCAAGCGGCCTAGATCTATTTTGCAGCATCAATTAAAGATTTCTGTTTGTATTAACAATGAATCATATCTTTTTTTCTTTTTCTTTTTCTTGATGTAATATTCATACACAAAAGAATCATAAAATATTTCTGCTTTCTTTTGGCAGTACATAAGATACATGTCCATTCCATAAAATAGATAAAATTTGAATAATGAAAGTCCTTAAGGAAGTGAATATCTGCAGTTTGTTGATATATAACAGGCATTAAGACCAGGAAATGCCTCTGATCTTCGGAGTTATTCTGCTGTGTGGCATTAGTACTTAGTGCATAGTACAGTAATTAAATATCAAATGGTTGATTTGTATGAATCGCAGAAATACACAAAGCGAGACGTGATATATAGCACAATTTTTTGCTTGTTAGGAAAAAAAATCATACCTATGTTTTAAGCAATATCATGCTTTTCTAGGCACGTTTTCATTTGAAACCAAAAAATATATTTTTTTTCTAACTTTATCGAAAAAAGATCTCGTGTTTTGTTACGACCGCGAGCCAAGTTTTCAAAAAGGCATGAAATTATTCACTTACGGTGAAATCTCCTTCCAGTTCTTTTTCCATTTGTTGCAGCATCCGAATGTCGTCAGCGAGAGCGGCCCCGTTAAAGAAGAGAAGGGCCAGCAGGGAACACAGGAACCAGGAAAAAACAGAAACCATAGTCACCCGGTTCTCTGGAAGCATAATATAACTTCAGGTTCTTTATAGACATATATATACCCACATACACGCACATGTATGACATTGCATATATGCGTGCAAGTATATACACAACATACCAACGACTGATAAAGGAAACATACCAATAAATTTCTCTCCAAAGAGGTCAGTTCGAAGTTGCATCGGTTACTTCAGACGCCCCTACGAACAAAACACAGTGTAGGACAGAAATGGAGGCACGGGACGATCTGCCTGCGTGCACTCTCTTTTATAGGGGGCAGAGGGGGGGGAGGGGTACGCCATCTCTTACCATCAGAGAATAAACAGGAAGACCTGTAAACAAGTACATATGTAGATGCATTCATGCGCGTCTGTATGTGTGAAATTTTGGTGTATGTTGCAGGTTTTATCTCGTATATGCGCTTGCTATAATCATTATATTCCAGCACAAACACATACACTGAGAGAGAGAGAGCGAGAGAGAGAGAGAGGGGGAGGGAGAGAGAGAGAGAGAGAGAGAGAGAGAGAGAGAGAGGGAGGGAGGGAGGGAGGGAGGGAGGGAGGGAGGGAGAGAGAGAGAGAGAGAGAGAGAGAAAGAAAGAGGAGAGAGAGAGAGAAAGAGAAAGAGGAGAGAGATGGAGAGAGAGAGGGGAGGGCTAAATTTAGACCCAGGAAATTCGGTGGGGCCCGCATACATCAAAATCACTGTTCACAGCAAACCACAAATTCTAACCAACAGTCATTTCACGTAGTGACTTAAATAACCAGGCATTCCGTGTAATGACTAAAAAATACGCACCCTGATTACACCTATTGCCTAATTATCCATTTGTTCATTCAGGCAATCAGTGTAGGAGCTTATAATGCCATGTCATCTGTACAGTCAGGTAACAAATTGCCATTCCAGGTCGGCATGTTGGCTTCTCATTGCCCTGGTGCTGCCAGGTCACCGAGGTAACCTTGGAAAGCTGGCAGGACCGTGAAACAGAGACACTGCCTTGCCGCTACCGGTGACACAGGTCTATGGGGACACCTTTTGAGATACTGCAACTTCCCGACATATTTCTCTTGTTCGGAGCTCCGTACATATTACAGAGTGATAATGCATCAGAGTTCATAGCTGAAGTGATCAGTGTGCTGAAAATCATCATTTCATGGAAAGCCTCGACATCCACAGAGCCAAGGATCCGTGGTTGCATGGATGGGAGACAACAACACCACGGATTGGTGCTTTGGAATCAAGTTTGTCCAGTCAAAATGGGGAGGAACCAGGTCCTGTTCCCAGTGTTGAATCAGCCGAGTTTTCGGGCGATGCGCCCGAAAACGATTTGAGCCGCAGAGAGAATAATATCACTGCCCAGTCAAAAGGTTCCTGTACGAGTCAACTTGCCCAGGCTGAATGCATGGTCAAACGGAGTCGAATTGACCTTGCAGCCAGCGAACCACTTGATAATGCTGTTGTCCCTATTCCACTGGTAGATAGGGTCGAGGTGATCCTCGGAACATTCTCGGTGTCGTCTTGAAATGTGAACAAAATGATCTGTACACCATTGGAGTCAAGGCAGGAGCTCTGAAGGCCAAGCTGTCACGCAACCAGATTGACTTATCCCCTCAGCGCCTTCTGGGAAAGGACTCCATCAATCGCGACTGGATGGTATCACTGAGAGAAGTCATTACCTTTGAATCGGACTGTGGTGGACAGGGTTTTGTCAAATGCAACTGCGCAGGATCCAAAAAGTGTCAAACAAACAGATGTAAGTACTTTAAAAACCAAGTTAAATGTAACAGTAGGTGCCATACCAGCATGACTTGTGCTAATAAAGTCTAAACTTGGACCTCTTTGACAATGCTTCAATTCAGGGATATATAACTGAAAATTGTTTAGGATAACTTGTATGGTACCTAATTGTATTTCATGACCAGAAGGAATGTGTGAACAGTAGTTTCAATTGCACCATGTCTTGTACAAACAAATTACAAAGTGTGAATACTTGCACATGCGTGTATTAACATTTTTATGAGTTGAAATAAAGTGTGAATAGTAATTGATATCTTTGCGTTATTAGTTCAGTCATTTCATGAAATAACTGGTCTCATTTTTTAGTCATTACACGGAATGACGAGGTATTTGAGTCATTACGTGAATTGACTGGAGGTCACAGCCATTACACGTAATGCCTAACAATGTTAGTCATTACGTAATGACTGGTTTCGCATATTGCCTGTAACATATATATATATATATATATATATATATATATATACATATATATAAGGTGAATGTACTCATTCTGATCACTTAGTACATCTATAAACAGTTGAAGTATTTATAGGTAATCATCGTCTGGTGCTGGAGTCTGTAGGCAGCCATCCTTAACTCTCCAGCAATGGCCAGATTTTGTAAAGATTTCAATGCCCTATTCCACATTTAGGCCTCATAGTTTGCACCTTTGGTATGCTGGAGCAGACTGCCTGATGTGGGGCGAGACTTTCATTTCTTTGGTCTTTCTGACAAAACAGCCAGTATTTGACTTGGTCTACTATTGTTCTGGCACTCCTAGAGGGTGAGAGCAGGGAATTATTAAATACTTCACATGGTTCAGATACGCCTTTGTATATAAAACAGCGAAGTGTATCTGGTGACTGAATAATGTATGAGTGTGCTTGCCTGCCTGCGTGCCTGTGATTTTCTTTGCTTCAGAAATTTTAATCTGGGTGGCGCCAAGGAAGAAGTTACCAAGTCTTCAGAATGTTCGGTTTTTATAATTTTGATTGAAAATATTTCAGACCAATAAAGTCTAGGAAACTGGAAACAAATTGACCAAGTGCAGCATTAGGAATCTACTTCGAGTGACTAAAGGTGTGCATATCCGAGCAAAATGAATTCTCCCTTTTAGAAATCAGCAAGTTTTTTTTTTTCTTTGAGACTGAAAATGAGAGAGAGAGAGACGGAGAGAGTGAGAGAGAGAGAAAGGAAATAGCATGGGCAGAGAGAGGGAGGTTCATGCCCTTATTTGGTCATATTACTGCATCCAAACTGCATTTTATTTTTATTTTATCTCCGTGCGGGCAAAGCATCCGACTATATCTGACGCGGAACACCTGAGGCGGAAGGCGCTTCCTGTTATGATCTTTATTTCCAATTTATCAACACATCTTATCATCTCCTCTTCTTGTCATTTGTTGCTGTTTGTCCCTTGAAATCCGGGAGGCATGGTCGGAAAGAATTATTTTCGGTATTTTTTTTTTCTTTACGTACGGATAGCATTCAGTTTATTCCTCGCCTTATCTGCTCGTTTTCCCTGTCCTAGTTAATTATAGTATTATACATACACACACTGTATAGTCAGCAGCATATCCGACCAAATGCGTCTAATGCTCTTCACTAAAGTCTATCTGGTAACACTGTCTGGCCTGGGATTGGCAATGACTCTCTAGGTCTCTATCATCGTAAATAAATGTCGATAATGATGTAAACAAGTGGCTAAAGTCATACTGAAACCCATACGCATGTCACATTTATAGGGAAAGAACAACCTATTGCTGTTATATAGGACACATATTATTGGTATCATATGCAAAATGTCGACATCACCGGTTGCTGTCTTTTCTAATATGAAATGTGAACCGAAAAAAAGAAAACGCGGCTACACCTCCCTCCGTTTCGCCGTTTTATTTGTTTCTGTTTTTTGTGATTATTAAAAGTTTATTCTGAATTGTCATTTGCATCCTTACGCAAAAACTACAGAATTAATATATTGGGAATGAGCGAAGAAATGAGAGGAGGGAAGAATCTATTATTTCACCCTTTTACTCCAGTATTTATTATTTACGTTCTTTCTTCTACACATTTATTTTGCTATTTTTAATTCTTTTGATGTACTTTTGAATGGAGAGGGCAGTCGGTCGCAGAGGATCCCCGGAATAGGCCTTCTCTAAGACAAGATAAGTGGTCGTGAGAAAATTACTTAGGTATAGTGATCAA